GGGAGGCCCAAGATTTATAGACTTCTGATTCGTCGGGAAGACCCAAAAATTATAGACTTCTGGCTTTTGGGTAACAACCAAGAAGCATGGTTATACTTGTTACATGTTAATGTCATATGATTTGTTATTATATTGAATGTCTATGTAGTATGTATTCCTCACTGAATAAGTGTAAATTCTCACCCTATTTGTTTTCCACACCCATGTTGTTCGAGTTGGCAACGGAGCGATGGCGAGGGTGTTCAAACAAATAAAAATAAATATCTTTTGTGTTTTACTGCTTTAAGTTACTTTCAAAAATAAGACAATGCATGAGTTTAATTCTTTTAAGATGATTAGACGCTGTGAAGCAAGTTTTATGTTTAGTTTATGATCAAGTTTACTTGGGCAAGTTGATGATTAAGTATGCAATGCACTATGCAATGCTATGATGAAGAGTAAGTATTAAGTTTTTCTAGGTTATGTGAAGTTTTAAAGTGGTAGCGCCCTTGAGCTTTCAATGTTTTTAAGAAAAAAAAAAAAATATTCGAGAAATTAAAGGTATAAAGAGTGGGGCATTACAAGTATTTACACTAACACGATTAATTTTCCATCCAAAGTTTCTCATTTAATCGTCAGTTTCTTTAATTTTCTTCTTGTTCTATTTGTACCCTTTTATCTTTTCACTCACACACTCATAGATCTAGGGGTTGGGGTTGCACCATCTGAAATATGTCTCGAAATGGGTATGGGATGCAGTGGTCGCGAGCCACGACTAGGAGAGGACTGCTGGCCACGATTGGGAGACAGCGGTTGCGGCTGGTGGTGTCACTCTGGCTAATAGAAGCAACTATTGCATTGATAATTAGTTAGGGGTTTGAGGTTTGATTTGCTTAATTTTTGTATAATCCATTTGTAAAAATTGTTTCCTTTTCGAGTGAGATTCCAAATTTGCACCTGTTGTTTTCTTCTTTTTTTCTTTTTTTTTTTATTATTTTTTTGTTCAAATTCAATACTTGCATCTGTTGCCTTTTTTTTTTGGTGAGATATGGTTGTGTTACTAGACTTGGTGGGCTTGTAGCGCGGCACGGGCCAGGTCAGATAACAGGTCTAAGGTAACGGGCTAGGTTCGGGAACGAAACTACCCGGCTCAACCTAGCCGATTGCCATCCCTACCAACCAAGCCACATCAATATTAGCTAAGTTCTTCTCTTATGTTATCCTACTAAGGGAACCCCTAAAACATTTCGAAGTCCGTCTCCTGAACTTAAAAAAGTCTGGACATCAATTTCTTCATAGATCCTAAGTCCATATCTTTAACTCCAAAAATCATCACATCCTAAAGGTTACAAAGTTCCCTTCTCCAGCTCAATATAACCCACTGAATAAGTACTTTATTATTCTGAGAGATTCCTCATAACTACTCAATCAGAACTACATGTCATGCGTTGATTCAGTGAAAGGCCTAAATTTTCCTTAAGTCATGACTCTGATAGGAAAAGACCTGACTCTGATCTGCCTACCCTAAACTTGTAGAGAGGCAGTTAGCATACCCTCCCCCTCCGTGTCGAGCCTTACCTCTTCGCAATGGAGGTAGTCGGCGTACCGCCCTTACGCGAGCCTTACCTTTCTCATAAACACCGTGAATCTGGATCATTTCACCACAGCTAAAGCCTAACAATTATGAACACACAACATCTCTCCTAGTCCGACTAAGATACTGGACCCTAAACCTCTTATAGTCACCTCGACGGGGCAGTCGACGCCCCCTCCCCCAAGCTTGTTCACCTCTTGTTTTTCCTAGACTAGTCGAATGACGGTCTCTTCTAGATTCCTGCACATGTTTTTACGTTTTTCACATTTTTCCTCAAATTTCGACTTTTCGTGTAATCCTGAGAGCATGTTTTGCAAAATTATGGTTTTTATGAGAGAAGCATGAGTTGTAGGTGTCGCATGCGGCCTGCCAAAGTTATCTGCGACAATCCCAACTATTCTCATATTAGACGGAAGTCACACACCAAGGTCCCACAAAGTAGCAAAATCTATTGTGTGACATTCGTCTAATATGTGAATAGTGGGGATTGTGAGCGGAGAACTTCGGCAGGTCGCATGGGGCAGCTTCAACCCATGTTCTCTCATGAAAACTGACATTTTCGGTCGAAACATGCTCTCGGGTTTACATAGAAAATTAGACATTGAGGAGAAACTGAACAAATGTAAAAACAGGTGCAAGAAGCTGCAAGACACCATCATCCGACTAGTCTGTGAAAAATAAGAGGCGGACAAGCTGGAGGAGATTCACATAAATGTTGCAGGTTCATTTGCATGCAAGAGTAGTTGTTTATAATATATTGATTTGTGACAAAAATGCGACAGACCTACGATTGAACGAACTGTTCACATGGATCCTTGCATATTCGTCGCCTATTTGTCACATTGTTTATCGTATAATTATTTCGCAACTACTCAATTAATTCCACATGGATGTCGTATAGTGTATCACATAATTATTTCACACTTACTCAATTAACTTCTTCTGTAGTCGCATGATTGATCGCATAATCATTTCGCACTTTATTTATTTATCTTCCGGCAAATCCCTTATAAATCCCTATTCCACAATTTCACTTCCTTGTCAGTCCCTCC